CCATCGCAAGGCGTGGTAACCCAAACTGCGAGAACTCCCTCGGCCCTTTAATCGCAAGGTGTGGTAACCAAGCCCGTAAACCATACACGTCTTACCAATCGCCAGGTGTGGTAACCCCTCTTGTGATCAGTTGGTTTTGCTGATTGCGAATCGGCTTCGCATGAAGTTTCGATACTGCTTCACGACAGCGCCAAGGCCTCATGACTTAGCTCTTCCATGGCCCATTCTCCGAGAGAGGGGGCCGGCGGCAGGGGGCGAAGCCCTTACGGATATATATATATATATATATATATATATATATATATATACACTATATAAGACCTCTTGGAAGGAAGCAACGTGGGTATCTTGGGGGCCTCGTGGGCCGCCAGGAGGCCGTCTTAGGCGTCTTGGATCATCTAGTGGCCTCTTGAAAGTTCTTTGGAATTCGCGGGGGGCCTCCCGGGGGCTTCTTGAAGGCAGGTTTGGAGGCCTCTTGGGGGCCGTTTGGGGTGCTCTCGGGGCTTCTTTTTGGGCCTCTTTGGGGCCTCTAGTGGGCCTCTAGGGGGCCTCTTGGGCTCTCTTGGGAACCTCTTGGGGCCTCCTGGGAGCCTCTTGGGGCGGAAGGCTCGAATTGCCGGCTCGTACTCCCCCTCTTGGGCCCCTCTTGGAGCTGTCTTGGGGCCCTCTTGGGCGATGTTGGGCGCCTCTTTGGCCGTCTTGGGGCACTCTTGGGCCGTCTTGGGGCTCTCTTGCGCCGTCCTGGCGCCCTCTCTGGGTGCTTCCTGGGCCGTCTTGAGCTGACTTCTGGGGCCTCGCGGGCTGTCTTGGACCGTCGGAAGCACGAACAAAACGATAACACGAACAACCTTCGAAACCACATCGAACCTACTTTTGTCGCCTCCTGGGGCCCTCGTGGGAATCCTTTTGAGGGCATGTTGGCAATATTGAGGCCCTCTTGGGCTGTCTTCAAGCCATGTTGGGCCAATTGTGAAACGCTCATGTGCGGTCTTAGGCTCTCTGGGTGCGCTCTTGGGCCATCTTTGCGCCCTCTTGGACGTCTCTCGGCCCTCTCGTCGCTCCCCTTCCCCTCCTTTGGCGCGTTCTGGCGCCCCACGACAGGTCCAAAACGGCCGGATGCGAAATCAGTGCACTCTGCGGGCCCAAGGGACCCCCTCCCCATTGAATCTCTATATATATATATACACATACATACACACATGTATATATATATATATATATATATGTATACAGGTCGGTATGTATGCATGTCTTAGGTACATATCATACACACCTGAGCGGGTCCTGGAAACGGCATGGCCTCTCTTGAACCGTTTTTGAACAAACTGCCTCTTGACCATGGGAAAAGACAAATACGGTTCATCGATTCTCTAAAACGGCCTGGGCAAGCCCGGAACCGGAAGGACGTTTGGCATCGGTTCGAAAACAGCTCGGACCCGGTGAAACAACAGTGATCTGGACCAAGCCCCCACCAGGGTGAACGAAAACTGTAAAACAACGGCGCTGGAAACATAGAAAGAAGGCGCCGGAAACAGTAAAAAACTTAAGTCCTGAAGCGGTAATTCAAAACAAAAAAATAACGCCCTGTCGCTTCCAGAACCCATTAAACCCTCGACCCTCGACCCTCCTGGGGTCTATATCCTGGCCAATTTTTCGGGTTGCGTCCAAGCCGTGGCGACAAGAGCCTCCCGACATCAAGACTTTGTCACGACATCGGGGTCTCGTCCGAGTCCCCAGGGCCGGCTTTTCATCCCGAGCCGTTCTTCGACGGTCCCCCTAGGTCTGGCGAGGGCCCCCAGCGGTCGAGGAGAGCAACAGCTCCCCACAAAACGCCCGCTGCGCTTTTACAAAAGAAACTCAGATATTTGTTCAACTACGATACACTCGGCTACATGCATCAAACTAGTTGGGTCGGCGCCAGGCTGGCTCCAGCAAGCGGTCTGCGAACGACGGGCGCGACGGGAGCGAATTACAGTCGAAATGCTGCCTTAAGGAACCCTGGATAAGGAATGAGGCACCCTTTTTCCTCAAGTCAAACTTCGACGTCCCACAGAACACCTAAGGAACACCTAAGACAAGCTGCAAAACCATTAAGAAGCACTGAGCACCTCCCAAACGAACAGGGTTCCTTCTTCAGCGGCCCGACTGGGAGGGCCGCGGGACAGCCAGAGCGGCCTCGGAGCGTGAAGAACTCGGGGAGGTGCCAGAAGCAAGCTCGAGCACCTGTCACTGTCAGAGCGGGCGCCGAGGCACCGCACATCCAGGGTGACGGAAACCTGTGTACGTACATACGTACGTACATACAAACATACAGACGTAGCACCCCGCAATTGCGGATAAGAGTGAGGGGGCGGGCGCGGGCGACGCGGGCGTCGTCGAGCAGGCGGACCTCGTGGCCCCCACCTTCCCTGTCGATGGCGCTCTCCTCCTCCTCCTCCTCCACCTCCTCCTCCTCCTCCTCCTCCTCCTCTCCTCCTCGTCCTCGTCCTCGTCGTCGTCGTCGTCGTCGTCGTCATCGTCATCCTCCTCCTCCACCTCGTCCTCCTCCTCCTCCTCCTCTTCTTCCTCGTCCTCCCTCTCCCCCCCTCGTCCTTCCATCATCGTCCTCCCATTGTCGTCCACCCCCTCATCGGCCTCCGTCATCGTCCTCCCATTGTCGTCCATCATCATCATCCTCCTCACCTCCTCCCCCTCCTCCCCCCTCGCTCTCCCCTCCTCCCCCCCTCCTCCCCCTCCTCGTCCTCCTCCCCCTCCTCCCCCTCCTCGTCCTCCTCCTCCCCCTCCTCCCCCTCCTCGTCCTCCTGCTGCTCCTCCTCCTCCTCTTTCTCCACATTCTCCTTACATCCTCTCTTCTTTCGAGTCCTCCTCGTCCCCTGTTTACTCCTCCTGCCTCCCCCTCCTTTCCCAAGATAACGGCAACGCAATCCTTTTTTCCACTTTATGCTCCCCGACTTCTCTGATCAAGGCAACTCGCCAGGGCAAAGTTGCTGGACGGGCTGGTGTGGATGCGCGGGGCTTGAAGAGGTCGTTGCGGGCTCAGACGGCATGCAAAAATCCGCCGCCGCGCTTGTGCGGCATTGGTTTGTTCAGTGAACGTGGTTTGGGTCGGGTCGCGGGGTGGGCCGCGGGCGGGTCGCGGGGTGGGTCGCGGGTGGGTCGCGGGAGGGTCGCGGGTGGGTCGCGGGGTGGGTCGTGGGGTGGGTCGCGGGGTGGGTCGCGGGTGGGTCGCGGGTGGGTCGCGGGGTGGCGCGGGGTGGGTCGCGGGGCGGGTCGCGGGGTGGGTCGCGGGTGGGTCGCGTGTGGGTCGCGGGATGGGTCGCGGGGTGGGTCGCGGGGTGGGTCGCGGGTGGGTCGCGGGGCGGGTTGCGGGTGGGACGACGACAACAAACAACAAACAACAAACAACAAGCAACAAGCAACACGCAACAAGCAACAAGCAGCAAGCAACACGCCACAAACAACAAACAACAAACAACAAACAACAAACACCAAACAACAAACAACAAACAACACACAACAAACAACAAACAACACACAACAAACAACAAACAACAACAACACCAACAACAACAGCAACAACAACAACAACAACAGCAACAGCAACAGCAACAACAACAAACAACAAACAACAAACAACAAACAACACACAACACACAACAAACAACAAACAACAAACAACAAACAACAACAACAACAACAACAACAACAACGAGAATCCGCACCGCGGAATCCCACTTCAGCCACGCACCCAGGGACAGTGGATGACCGTTCGGCCCCCTCACTCTGACATGCGTACACGCATCCGCATACATACATAAATACATACATACATACATACACACATCCATGCATACATACATGCATAATTACATGCGCACATCCATACACATGCATGCATAGATACATACATGCATGCACGCATGCCTATACTATATACATACAGACATGCACAGGCAGACGTATATACGTACATGCATGCATACATACATGCAGCCATACATACACAACCACGCGTACACACATACATACATGCATGCATGCATATATACATACGTACATGAATGCATATATACATACATACACCAACACATACATGCATACATGAATGCATGCATACATGCATGCAGTATTTCTAGCGGAATCAGATGGTTAGGTGGAATTTGCCACCGATTTCCCGGGTGCCCGGGTGCCCGGGTGCCCAGGTGCCAGCGTGCCCGCGTGCCCGGGTGCCTCATAGCCCGAGGTCTATAGTCCTGTAGCCCTATGGCCCTTTAGCCCTAAAGCATTATAAGACCTATAGCCCCATAGCCCAATAGCCCTATGGCCCAATAGCCCTATAGCCGTATAGCCCTGTAGCCTTACAGCCTTATAGCCCTATACCCCGTACCCCCTAGAGCCCTACAGCTCTATAGCCCTATAGCCCTATAGACCTATAGCCCCAAGCCCGATAACCCTATAGCCCCATGGCCCTATAGCCTTATAGCCCATAGCCCAATAGCCCAATGGTCCGATAGCCCTATAACCCTATATCCCTATTACCCTATAGCCCTGTAGCCTTATAGCCGTATAGCCCAATAGCCCTATAGCTCTATATGCCTATAGCCCTATAGCCCAATAGCCCTATCGACTCATAACCCTATGGCCCAATAGCCCTGTAGCCCTATAGCTCTAAAGCCCTATAGCCCTATAGCCTCATAGACCTATAGCCCTATAGTTCCATAGCCCTATAGCCCCATGGCCCAATCGCCCTATAGCCCATTAACCCCATAGCCCTATACCCCGAAACAGACTTTGATTGGGGCCTTTCTCGGGCATCATATATATATATATGTGGATACACACATCTAGCTGCGGGGTGAAACTGTCAAACGTCGGCGTTCTTTGTCAGTGCCAGGTGCCGTGATCCGTGGGGGGACAGCGACGACGAGCGAGGTACACACATCGCTCATGGCTGTCCTCCCCGGTGCAAAATCGTGCAACCCCCCGGGGACCCCGCGGGCCTCCGTCTGCAGCCCGTCCTCGCTGTCAGGCTCGAGGTCGGTCAGGTCCGCCCAGGTCATCGCGCGGGGGACCTGCCGCGCCTTTTCGTCGACTCGTCGTCGTCGCCGTCTTCGTCGTCGTTGTCGTCGTCCTCGTCGTCGTCATCGTCCTCGACGTCCTCGCCGTCGCCTCGTCGTCGTCGTCTTCGACTCGTCGCCGAATCGTCGTGGCCGTCGTCGTCGTCCTCCTCGTCGGCGTCATCGTCGTCGACGTCCTGGTCGTCGTCGTCCTCCTCCTCCTCCTCCTGGACGTCGTCGTCGTCATCAGCACCGTCGTCGTCATCGTTACCGTCGTCGACGACCTCCTCGCCGCCGACGTCGTCGTCAACGACCTCCTCGCCGACGTCGTCGTCGTCCTCGTCGTCGGAGTCGTTTTAGTCGTCGACGACGTCGTTGTCGTCGACGTCGTCGCCGCCGTCGTCGTCCTCGTCGTGGTCGTCGTCCGCGCCGTCGTCGTCATCCTCGTCGTCGACGTCGTTGTCGTCGACGTCAAGGCAGCCACGGCAACCAGTCGGGGGCGTCCAAGAGAAGGGCCTCCGAGAGGGGGGTGTGCGAACCGTCGACACCTTCGCCGACTCGTCGTCGAATCGTCGTCGTCCACTCGTCGTCGTCGTCGTCGTCGTCGTCGTCGTCGTCGTCGTCGTCGTCCTCCTCCTTATCAGCATTGCGCGAAGGCGACGCCTTCAGTGGGCTCGCGACCTCTTCACTGCTGCTTAAGAATGAAGAGCTGTCGCATGAGCAGCAAAAGGGCACTCCACGCAAACCAAAGCGAGAGAGAAGCAACACGAGCGAAACCAAAGACGAGCAAGTCTGACCAGAACGCGAAACATGTGCGCGCGCGTACACAGTTATGATGCGTTGGGCCGTTGGCGATGGACACGGCCCAAAACGGCACATCGAAAGTGCAAACACATAGAGAAATGGAAACATAACGTGCACAGGAGAAGATTGGAGGAACCATACCCGCAGAGAGAAATGGCAATATGCGTACGGTGGACACGGAGAAGGGGAACTGACAGAGGTAGAACACGCAGAGAAAGAGTACGGAACACATAGAGGCAGAGCAGAGCATCTAAAATACCACCAGCCCTTCGGGCGTAGGTGGTCTAGGGCGGCTTCTCTTCCACCCCCCTTCTTCCCCTTCGGGGAAGGATATATCACTGTTCCCTATTAATAGACACCCCCTCCCCCAGGCGACTGGGGGCCAACCCAGGTCCATGACAACCCCCCCATCCAAATCCCTTGTAAAAAAATTACCCTGGCGACGTACCCAACCCCTGCGCAAAAGCGGGGCGCAAATAGTTTAGGATACTTTATAAGGGGGCGATGACGGAGCGAGGGTTGCATATGTCTGCAGACGGAATTCGGGAGACTCGCAGGACACTGGCTACAGGAAAAGGGCTTGATAAAGCTGATGAGTTACAATTCCTGGGCACTCCTAGCCACTTCGAAAATGGTGATCACAGCAGGCCTCGAAAGTGGCGACAGTTTCACAGATCGCAGCCCCGCAGGGATGGCGAGGTCTAATTTGGGTCCGCGCGTGGCGTCACTGTGCCGGGCCCCCCAGCAGGCCTCGAAAGTGGCGACAGTTTCACAGATCGCAGCCTCCAGGGGATGGCGAGGTCTCATTTGAATCTGCCCGTGGCGTCACTGCGCCGGGCCCCTCAGCAGGCCTCGAAAGTGGCGACAGTTTCACAGATCGCAGCCCCCAAGGGATGGCGAGGTCTCGTTTGAATATGCCCGTGGCGTAACTGTGCAGGGCCCCCCAGCAGGCCTCGAAAGTGGCGACAGTTTCACAGATCGCAGCCCCACAGAGATGGCGAGGCCTAATTTGAATCCGCGCGTGGCCCTCACTGTGCTGGGCCCCCCAGTAGGCCTCGAAAATGGCGACAGTTTCACAGATCACAGACCCCCAGGGATGGCGAGGTTTCAGAGGAATCTGCCCGTGGCGTCACTGTGCTGGGCCCCCCAGCAGGCCTCGAAAGTGGCGACAGTTTCACAGATCGCACCCCCCCAGGGATGGCGAGGTCTCATTTGAATCTGCCCGTGGCCCTCACTGTGCTGGGCCCCCCAGCAGGCCTCGAAAATGGCGACAGTTTCACAGATCGCAGCCCCCCAGGGATGGCGAGGTCTAATTTGAATCTGCCCGTGGCCCTCACTGTGCTGGCCCCCCAGCAGGCCTCGAAAATGGCGACAGTTTCACAGATCGCAGCCCCCCCAGGGATGGCGAGGTCTAATTTGAATCTGCCCGTGGCCCTCACTGTGCTGGGCCCCCAGCAGGCCTCGAAAATGGCGACAGTTTCACAGAGCGCAGCCCCCCAGGGATGGCGAGGTCTAATTTGAATCCGCGCGTCGCCCTCACTGTGCTGGGCCCCCCAGCAGGCCTCGAAAATGGCGACAGTTTCACAGATCGCAGCCCCCCCAGGGATGTCGAGGTCTAATTTGAATCTGCCCGTAGCAGGCCTCGAAAATGGCGACAGTTTCACAGATCGCAGCCCCCCAGGGATGGCGAGGTCTAATTTGAATATGCCGTGGCCCTCACTGTGCTGGGCCCCCCAGCAGGCCTCGAAATGGCGACAGTTTCACAGATCGCAGCCCCCCAGGGATGGCGAGGTCTAATTTGAATCCGCCCGTGGCCCTCACTGTGCTGGGCCCCCCAGCAGGCCTCGAAAATGGCGACAGTTTCACAGATCGCAGCCCCCCAGGGATGGCGAGGTCTAATTTGAATCTGCCCGTGGCCCTCACTGTGCTGGGCCCCCCAGCAGGCCTCGAAAATGGCGACAGTTTCACAGATCGCAGCCCCCCAGGGATGGCGAGGTCTAATTTGAATCTGCCCGTGGCCCTCGCTGTGCTGGGCCCCCCAGCAGGCCTCGAAAATGGCGACAGTTTCACAGATCGCAGCCCCCCAGGGATGGCGAGGTCTAATTTGAATCTGCCCGTGGCCCTCACTGTGCTGGGCCCCCCAGCAGGCCTCGAAAATGGCGACAGTTTCACAGATCGCAGCCCCCCAGGGATGGCGAGGTCTAATTTGAATCTGCCCGTGGCCCTCACTGTGCTGGGCCCCCCAGCAGGCCTCGAAAATGGCGACAGTTTCACAGAGCGCAGCCCCCCAGGGATGGCGAGGTCTAATTTGAATCTGCCCGTGGCCCTCACTGTGCTGGGCCCCCCAGCAGGCCTCGAAAATGGCGACAGTTTCACAGATCGCAGCACCCCGCAGGCAAGACAGGAAGAGGCAGGGAGGGAGGAAGGGAGGGAGGAGGGACGCGACCACACTGCTCTATTCAAAACGAATACCCAACCAAGGAGGGTTGGGAACAATACAAATCACACTCTGGCTCCAAATTCGGAACATGCGCAGCCAACCCGATGTGCCGCCCCCCCACCATGCGCCCCCCCCCCACCATACTGAACAAAACAATACAGAGTACACTTGGCGGAGGCGGCGGCGGCGGCGGCGGCGGCTGCGGCGGCGGCGGCGGCTGCGGGGCTGCGGCAGCGGCGGCGGCGGCGGCGGCGGTGGCGCGGCGGCGGCGGCGCGGTGGCGGCGGTAGCGGCGGCGGCGGCGGCGGTAACGGCAGCGGCGGCGGCTGCGGCGGCTGCGCGGCTGCGGCGGCGGCGGCGGCGGTGGCGGCGGCGGCGGTGGCGGTAGCGGCAGCGGCTGCGGCGGCGGCGGCGGCGGCGGCGGCAGAGGCGGCGGTGGCGGCGGCGGATTGGCCCCCAGTAGCTGAGGCTCGGGCCAGACTCGGGTGCTACGTATGTGTTGGGAGGGCGGGTGGGAGTGAGCGAGACGGCTTGCGGGCGGGGGGGGTCTTGACCCCTCCCCCCTACCCCCTACCCCCTACCCCTGGACGGGGGTGGTCGCGGGTAGTTGGGGCGTGCGCCTCGGAAAGCCCAAGATGACCTCCAAGATGGCTCAAACTAGCCCCGAAGATGCTCCAAGAGACCCCAAGAACGCTCCAAAACGACTCCAGGTGGCCTCCGAGACCTCCAAAAACGTCCCCAAGAGGCCCAAATCCTTCAACCATTTAAGGAAGATCGATGATGTTTGCTCTCTCGCCTTCTCGTTTCCGATTGCCACCCGAGGCCTCAGGATGGCCTCAAGATGGCCCAAGAGAGCCCCAGGAGAGGCCCAAGAGAGCCCCAAGACGGCCTCGAGAGCGCACAAATCCTGGCGCTAGCACTCGCCACGCACGGCCCTGGGGGGGGGGGAGGAGGAAGCCTCCCCCAGGAGCGGAGGGTGCGGACCCGACCCAACTGCCCCGCAGCGCGCGGCCTCTCCGAGGCCAAGCGGGCAGACGCCGGTCGGGCCCGTGGGGGAGCACCACCCCCCCCCACACCCCCAGGGCGGGTAGGGCGGGCCAACGACAGCTCGTGGTCACTATGGACCAGAAGAGAGGGCCCCATGGGCACGTGAACGCAGCAGGCCGCTATGGGCCGCAACGAAGCCACTATGGGCCGCAAGGAAGCCACTATGGGCCGAGCGAAGCCCCCAGAGGGCGGAGGGCCGAAACCCGACACACGGCACGGTATTTATATCCCGCCCCAGTGCCAGGCGGAGGAAGCACGGCACGGCACTGCACCACACGACGCGAGCGGGAGGCGGAAGAGGGTCGACCAGCGCGCGGCCGACCAGCCGAGCGAGGGCGCCCCCGCGGCCAGCCGCGGGGTCGTTCACAGCGCGGGCGGATTTGTGCCAAGCAATAACTTCGTTATTCCGACCCCACAAATCCTGGCGCTTGCACTCGCCTCGCACGGCCCTGGGGGGGGGGGAGGAGGAAGCCTCCCCCAGGAGCGGAGGGTGCGGACCCGACCCATCTGCCCCGCAGCGCGCGGCCTCTCCGAGGCCAAGCGGGCAGACGCCGGTCGGGCCCGTGGGGGAGCACCACCCACTGCAACGGCGCTCCCGCGGGCCACGCCCGGCGCTGCCACCCACTGCCCCCGCGTGCCGGGGGTGCGCCCACGTGTGTGCCGTGCAGACACGACCACCAGACTGCGCGGGGTGCTCAGCCATCGCCATCGTCGCTGGACGACTC